GGTAGGTATAACAATGCTCATTAAACATTATTTAAAACTACAAGAAATGTTCTATATGAATAAAATGTGATTGTCTACAGTACTCTAGACCCAACCATCAAAAGTTTTTAATGATAGTGGGGAGTGTTTACAACACTATAAGTAAAAAGGCAAAATCCATGTTATATAAAGAAAAAGCAGTTCACCTCAGTGTGACTGCATTTTTCCCAATAGGATTATTCTTGGTATTTCCCTGTCTTCTGCAGCTTTAAATATATTACAAAATAAGAGTTAAATTAAAAGTATATCTTCTAAAGATTTGATAACTATGTTTGAAGGATCTGCAAGAATAACCACAGAATGTGTATAACTGAAAACTAAAGTCTTCTTTGAATACAGTTTACTACCTAGAAGTCTATGAATGTCCATTTTTAAAAGGGCCTACTGGGGCTGGGGATATAGCTCAGTGGCATAAGCGCCTGCCTGGCAAGTGCAAGGTCTTAGGTTCAATTCCTGGTACCAAAAAATAAATAAATAAATAATAAAAGGGCCTAACTTGATAACACCTTCAGATTCTTTAAAATATATTTTTAAATATTTATTTTTCACAAAAAGTACTACTTGGTCCCATTTTAAACTTTTGCTTCCTTGAAAACAAATGATTCCTTACATTAACCAAGTTAAACTGTGAACCAGAAATAAATCCCATTATCATAAAGTGTCAGATAAATATAAATATTTCCCTTTATAAACATTAACCTATAAATTTATGATATATAATCACAACAAATCTGAAATCACATTTTCATTTTAAATAATAAGCAAACCTAATTTCTCATAGGATATATTAAAAGGTAGTCCAAAAAGGTCCTCTCAAACCTCACGTAACTAACAAAACTTTTGTTCTCCCTGGAATATTATGCTACATTATGAGGCAGTTAGGACTGTCATGTATGATGACACATTTGTACAACCAGCAAGTGACCCATCAGCAACAGGGCTGACAAGGTTTGCCTGGTCAGTTCATTGACTTTCCAAGGGTGACGATGGATTTGCACTGACTTAGCTTCCCTGTTTTGTCCAGCTACCCTTTGGAGGGTAGCAGCTCGCACCTGGAGCGGGTGTGCACCAGAAGAGCAGATGTCTCAGCACCTACACCGTAGCATGCAAAACTGTTTCACCTGATGACTAACGTCAAGGCCATGAACTTGGTTCCATTTGATTTGTTTTGTCACCAGCTGCCCTAACTCAAATTTGAAATAGGATTATGTAAGTTAGCACATTCTAGAGTTTTTATGGTTTTTTTCTTTTCACAAGAAATATCACTATTAAACCTCAAAAACATATCCTATTATGTCATGAATGCAGAGAGACTTTATAGTAAGACTGTCAGGAAAAAATATTTCAAAAACACTGCAACTTTTAGCAATCTGGAAGCGAACTCTGAAGTAAACTGAAACATTCCCACAAAGCAAAAATAATGGAACAAATTCCCCAAAGCAACAGCCTTTTTAAAATTAGTCATTAAAACTTCAAAGATCTTCAAGTAGATAAATAGTAATACTGTCATCTGCCAAAGGATCCCTCCGTGGGATCCCTGGAACCCTGGGATCTTGCCCCGGCTTGCACTGTATAACACAGCAAGTCACAATTACCAGCTCCTCATCTGCAGAATGGGAAACTGAGCTTGACATGTCTCAGAGCCCTTCTGATTCTGAAATACTAAGAATTCATATTCTTGTAAATTATATAAATCATATATTTAACACTTTTTAAAATGTGGATTTTTTTTAACCCTATGGCAAAGATAGAACTGCAAAAATGTTCTAAGATAAAACACAAAATTTCAAAAGCCTCCTTTTGGATCAAGTCTCTAAGGGTACGAATAAAAAATAACTGTATAAAGCATCCACAAAATGCTGCCTTTCCCATCCGAAAGGAGACAGAAGCACCTGGACAGTGCAGAATGTATTTTCTTAAACTAATTATTTCTAGTGTAACATTGAAGTACTGCTGATTTTAAGACATTAAGGTACTTTTCTTATATTATCTAGAACTGTAATTTATTTTCTCTTCCACTTAACAATCCTTCCACAAGTGTAACAGAGAAATCTGAATTTCATCTCATAAATGTCTTCACTTCACAGTGCTGTGCTGCAGGCTGGAGGACTGAAGGGGTTTGGGAGCAGGGAAAAAGCATGCAGCAAATTGTTTTTAATCTTGCAAATCCTCCCAGGGTCTCCTGTAGTCTTTGGAGAACAATTAAAACAGAAGCAGAAATGGTACAAGTGATGAAGTTCTACAAACTAGAGCTGCAAAGCCTCTAGTATCCTCCAAAGTTAAGCCCCATATTAGAACACCAGGCCAAAGGGCATGAAGTAAAACAATTTTCAAAAAGACAATCGCAGTTAATTTGGATTTTCTTTTTTGTTGCCACTTGAATCTAAAAAACAGAAGACAAATATATGTTATCTCTAATTAAATATTGGATGAGCATAATCCACATGCATTGTCAATCAACATATTTCAAAAGAATTTACCAACTGTCATGTGCTCATTTATTTCATTCCAGACTTCCCTTTCACTTCTGTAAGTATATAATTCCCTTTCCTTAAAAAACTTAAAACTGAAATTAAAATTTTAAAAACTTCTGCCAAATGTGCTTCAGTCTCATTTCGTAAGAAAATGTCTATCAACTGCTGTACAAATGTGTCTTAGGGGTTACCACTGACCCACCATCGTAGCAGCAAAATTGATATTACAGAACCTCCTGCTGCAAACAGAATGATCGCAAAGGAACAGGTAAGTTACAACTCAGAGTCAAACAGCTGTCTTATTCCAAAATCTTTGTGGCTTTAAATAGAAATTTATTGGACATTTTAATAGCTTTGAATATTAAGGAACAAAAAGTTTTAAGGTATTTTTCTAACTCTGTTCAAATGAAATTTGCAAGGGATATTTATGAAGGATGTTTTCTTCAGAACACTTAAGCTCAGAAATAAAGTACAACACCAACAAATACAAAATTTGAAAAACGGGATTACCTGAAGTTTTCCAGGAACAATAATGCGTAATGCTTTAAGAACAGTGTTTAAAACAAGCATGTTTACTTTATTTTAAAAATAAAGTCATGAAAATTGATATAGTTCATATTTTCTTACATTTACTGGTCTTATATAATACCTTTCTTATGAAGAACTTACAATGTCTTGAGCTTATAGAGTTCATATTATGACTGCATCAGTATCAGTTGTCAAATTTTTTTTTTACCTTAACAATTTTCTATTGCTATATTTTTAAAAATAGCAAGCAGTGATGTGACAGAAAACACACCAGTAGCAAATTGGGAAATTCATAAAAAGAAAGAAGCAAGAGGATGAAAAGAAAGAAATCATAACTTCATAAAAGCCACCCACATAACAGGTGAAAAGAGTTTAATTTGATCACAGAGTCATCACTACTTCTTTTTTTTGTGGTACCAGGGATCAAACTCACAACCTTGCACTTGCTAGGCGGTCGCTTATGCCACTGAGCTATATCCTCAGCCCAATTCATCACTACTTCAAGGAATTGATGAGAAAAGTAATGAATCTCCTGCCCATCTGAATCTTAGAGATCAATTTTAAACTTTATAAGGTGCTACACAATCCCTCTTAGTAAAGACTACCAATATTATAATTTGTTGTTTGCTATACTATCGGCAGATACACCAAAGCCTATCTTAAAACAGAGTACTATTATTTATTAGATGTTTTCATTGTTTGTGGAAGTCTAGTATCTTCATTTTTCTAGGAACTAAATGGCAGCCAGTCAGTTAATTTCTGGTAAATACTTAAAATTTTCAACGAAACATTAAGTCCCATGTACTAGGCTTTTCTCACATAAACATAGGCTCTAAAGTATAAATCATCGACACTATAATGTCTCATAAAATGAATCTTATGAAACTTAAGCTACTAAAGCTTCACATTCTGGCTATAATGTATTGTAAACAAAGAACAGATTCACATACTTTTAGTACTGTTTTGAAAACTTCTGAATTCACAAAAGGACTCAACAAAGATTTCTAGGACCTATGGTACTATTTTATTTATAAAAATATGGAATTGTAAATTTTATTTCAAACATAAAGCATTGCAGAACACAACTAACTTAAAGGTAATGCAGGATTTAAGATTGTTTGATAAGCTAACAAAAAAACTTGTCTATTATTGATGGCATCAATTAAGAATTGTTTATTTATACCTACATGATTTATTCCTCACGTAAGTATATATACACAGAACTAAGATGAAATAAAAATATCCTCAAGTTCTTAAATTGTGAACTGAACATGAGAACCTATGATTGAGGCATTTATTTATAGACAGATGTTATCCCTGGTTACACCCTCAGCTAAAATTCATTTAGTCATGGCCATTTATAAAATATATTAGCTGGATGTCTGGTAAATTATTGACCATTTATGTTCCACTATAAATGGTTGGTAAAAATATCCTGTAGCAAATCTAATTCCAATTCACTTATGATCTTGGGAAACTTTTTAAAATTCATGTTTAAAACTCTTTTATTTCACAATATTTTGAATTTAAGATCCTACATTTGCATACATTCATTTGCATTACATTTGTTTCATACTCTGCCCTAAAAATCCCTAGACTAATTTCATTCAGATAGTTTTATTAAGTAAATAATGTTCTGTCCTACTAACTTCATTAGTCTGTGAACTATTTATGGTACAGAACTCTTCTCTTACCAACTTCCTCAGGCTCTTGCAAATTGTTCCATGAATAGCATTTAACTCTGGGACCAGAAGTCTAGTCACATAAATATTCAAACTCTCTATTTAAATCCTAAAAGAATTCACCACTTCGAAACTATTTCCAAAGGATATTTATATAAGACATTGCTCCAGGAATATTGTCAGCTATGCTAATAACTTAATTATCGCCTGCATCAAGACCATTCTCTATCACTGCCCTTAATCCATCTGTCAAATACAAAACTTGAACGCACTGTAATTCTTTTAAGAATCTTTATTGATTTTTTTAACAATTCAGTTTGTTGGATCTCCGTGCAGTTTATAAAAAAAAAAAACTTCAATAGTTTCATATAAACTGCAATCAAAAAAGTAATTTACTTTGTCAATGATGTCATCTGAAGTTGCAAGTTATTTTTTGTAATATGCAGAACAGTAAAATGCAAGCATGCTCTGGGATGCAGGTGCTCCTGTGTACTATGGAGTTATTTTTAGAGCTTGCTAAGGTCTGCAGGCAGTTTATGGGATGCAATTATTTTCTTCACAATTTTAGGTACATGAGAATAAAACTGATATTTTTTGAATAAAGTATTTTTCTCAAAAAAGTTGAGGCAGCTTTTGTTGAATGCTATCTGCGCAGGTACACGTGCTACACCTCGCAATGTACTAAGAGAGACCAGACAGCAGAGTCCTTGTTCATGCTGAAACTTGAAAGTCCCTCCACGCGAGTCGAGGAGTTCCGAGAAAAGAGGAAGGCATAACACTGCACAGTTGTTCATTGTTTTACATTAACAGAACACACCAAGAAACTTTACATGACAAGGAAGCAAATCCCCTCCACTGCTTTTAAAGTCAGTGATGTCTGCAGCGGAGGGGGGAAGTGGAGCAAACTAGTATGGGTAAAGCTTAAGTCTACACCTCATGCAGAGCTGTCCTTTTTCCTGTCCTCTAATGTTTCTCAGACATCTGAATTGGAACTGAGGTTTGTTAACCTGGGGTCCGCATTGATTTCGTATCTGTAATGATACCCTTCCATGTGATCCCTGCAGGCATCTCTGATGTTGTGCATCCACTTTTTTATCCCCTTACGGTTCAAATACAAAACGAGGAGGAAAATGGCGCCTATCAGGGCTAAAACAATACCCAGGAAGACGTAAGAAGTCTGCAGGGAAGGAGGCAGGATAGGGTCACAGTCCAGGTCGGAGATGTTGAGTTCCACAAGAATGTGATTCCTCATTTTTTCTGGGAACGCACAGGTGAGCCCGGCTTTGCCCTCCACTATCTCGGTCTCCTTGAGCCAGGTCACCATGTCCACCATGTGACAATCGCAGACCCAGGGGTTGTTGTCCAGGAACACCTTGACACGCTCCAGGCCTTGCAACTCGGCCAGGGTGCCGTTGTGAAGGACCTTGAGCGCGTTGTCCTCTAGATGGAGGCGTTCTAGGTGTGTAAGGTTGCGGAAGGACAGGTAGGTCAGGCTCACCAGGGAATTGTTGCGCAGGTCCAGGTGCCTGAGGCCAGGCAGCTGGGCCAGCGTGTCCCTGGGCAGGTAGAGAAGGTGATTGCTGGCCAGCTCCAGGCGACGGAGCCCCTGCAGCGCGCGGCCCGCCCGCAGGGCCGCGGCCACCATGCTCTCCACACTTTGGTTCTGTTTCTGTTCCGGGTCCAGGTGCTCGGCGGGGGGCTCGATGTGGTTCAGGATCAGTTCCGACAGGGGGCTGGGGGCCGAGGCGCTGGCGTTGAGGCCCGAGAAGGCGAAGGGGCTGAGGTGGACGAGCGGGTTGTGGCTGAGGTCGAGCTGCCGCAGGCTGGGCAGGTCCTCGAAGGCAGCGGCGTGCACCCGCGCCAGGCGGCTGCCGCTGAGGTTGAGCGCGGCCAGCTCGGCCAGGGGCGGGCGGCGGG